TGCCAGGCAACGAAACATACGCCAACAGCAGCTAAATCGTCCGAACAGTCGACAAGGGTTGTCACCTATTTATTCTTTTGTAGGTAGTGGGAGCATTTACAAAACACTGATATCAATTCATATAGATCGAATTATAACTTTTTTTTGTTTTACTAATCTAAATAATGTATTTGATCACAAAGTGAAACAAGTACCATAACTCTAGAAGTAACTACCAGAAATTGTTGAAATTAAATAGGATTCTTCATTTCACCCACGTCAACAACATATATATAAATTAAATAATGATCAGATAATAATGTAGTATTCACAAGAAATCGTGTACGACAGATGGACGGAAGGACAGAGGCGACGACAATATACGACCACATTTCCATTTGGGCATATAAAAATGAATTCAACTGAAATCATAGCCAGATCATGCATTTTGACCTTTTACAATAACAATCAGTTCTATCTGGAGACTTAAAAAAATACACTTTCATTTGAAGCACCCGCATTCTGATTGCATTTGATAAACACAACATACATCTGTCAGATTATGTATTAACAATATTTTCCCCAGCAACTAGCATTAATTCCTTGTGGACATTCTCATCAACAGCTGTTCAACTACATGTAAATACATGTATAACTATACATGCTTTGTCTGTTGTGGCAGTTGTTTGATGACAATTAACAAGAGCTTGAAATATCACAATCTTGTCATTATGTTATAATAACACATGCTTGCAACTAAATGTACTTAGCTCTATATGATAGTTTCATAATTTACATACACGTACTAATGTAACATCATTATCAGGTGTTTTTTTTTCTTTTCTAGAAAATTTTACAAATTGAAGATGTATCTCAAAAATAAAAGCGAAATTCTGACCTAATGAAAATTATAAACCTGTCAATGTTCTCTTTGAAGCACTCTCGAAAGAAAGCATTTTCTTTTACAAAAAAGTTTTAAATGGCTTTTCGCAAACAAATTTACTGCGATGTGACAGGATGTGGTAAAATCTGTATTCGTTAAAGTATATGAAGGATGCAATTTTTGTAAGATTCATGAGGATTTGTTTGTAATTGGACTTCACCACAAGCTTTACTGAAATAAGATTTTGAGTTATATTCTCTACCACAATAAATAAAATAGATTTGAATCTGAGAAACCACATGGTCATTGTACCCATTACGTATGTATGTATCCTGTTATATACAATTATAAAGGCATTAAATCTAATGTTCAACTGTTCTTCCCTACTACAGATGACAAAATTCAATTTCAATATAGAACATCTTATCGATATTATTGGAATTTGTAAGTACATGTAGTCCTAATTTGGATACCCAGTACTTATCTACATTTTCTCTACTTCATATACTGATGGAAATCTAATTATCGTCTTCTTCTTTATTGGTTTAAGATACAGAAAAGTTCATCAATTGAATCTCATTTTATTGATCGTAAGCTTCACTTTCCGTTACACACTCTGTACATGACCATAAACCTATATGTAGCTTCCGCTTCTAATCTCCTGACCCATGCTTAGTACATACTCAATGTTATTGCCCATGGAATTCATAATTAGAGACGAGAAATCTACCAAATGTATCTTTGACTATTATTTTTGAGAATCCAATATGTAACATCTAGAATAGTTCTATTACAGATACTCCTGACTGGCATTGAAACTGTGTAGTACTATATGCACAGATGCAAAAAATCTCCCCTCATCCAACATGTGACGCATACTCTCTCATTCCTCTGCTGCACATTTTATTAGCCTTGTGATCGTCTAGTATTGTCTCTGGTTATATTTGTAATTATCTTCTTTTGGCTAGAATCCTTTTCACGTTGTGTATTTTCTTACGATCTTAGGAGTTAAGACGTTTGCCTACCATGAACAACAGTTGATTTCTACATTTTATATCAAGTACGATACATAGGTTACCAGCTTAGGTTATATCACAATACAGTGGAATCTGTCATCATTTTCATGTCCTGATTTATTTCCTTATTACTACAACCAAAAAAGTTTTGAGTAATCTGTATTCTGAATATTCTGAATTACAACATCAATCAGTGGTCCTGTCACACGATTTGCGTACAATTAACATTGGACAACTCGGCCTTCAATCAGTGTGTGTTAACCGACAAACAATCAGCAATCAATTATCTGTGAGCATAAAACATGTGTCGGTCTTTGTTGATTACCTTGATAATTTTATAATCTCCTGAAGTATTCAATTGGCCGTACTACGGTATCCGACATTTTAAAGCAAAAAGATGAATGGTTTAAGAGCGTGGACAAACACAACCTGTCAGTCAATTGGTCGGCCAATCGTAAAGCTTGGATGAAAAGTGCTATTTAGTCAACTTTAGATGATTATATATATTCAAAGTAAATTGTTACGCAATTGTTTGATATAATATAATAAAATTTTGAATGTACAGAAAGCGTTTTCATATTTTAAGTTCTGTGTATTCGAGGCTTTGTTATAATAAAATTTCCGGTACAATAATATTTCCGCCATAATTGAAGCTATTGAGTATTCCGACATCGCCGACATGCTGTCTAATCCGACATAGTGTATTGATCCCGTACGACTATATCATATGCCTACGACTTAACAGGGCATTCTGAATCCAGATGGTATCTCTTGAACATCAACGGTATCTAAATGCAGTATCTTCTCTCTCAATGCAAGTTAGCGGCTGTCTAAAGTCTATAGGACCTAAATCAGTCTTATAACATTGACAGTGTCCTTGAGACAGCTCTGTCAATTATTTAATTGGACAAATATTACGTAATTAAACATTGATGATTGGTTACTAAATCTAATGACATCAAGAGCCACCCTTAGTAGAAACTTTCCACCAGGAGTGTCAGACATGTTACCTTGGTTTCAACCCAGAAACAATTGTTTACCAAATTTAAGCTGTTTTTATATATAAACATATCACTCATTCAATTTGAATGTGTGAGATATGACTACTCTATAATATGAAACCCAATAATTACTACACTGTATGATTGAGACATTTAGATTACATGCACCAAATAAATATTTACAGAATATCTGAGTACTATACCTTTTTGAAGAACTGAAAACAGTGCAATTTTAAATTGTGGTTGGCCATAATTAGTTATTCTTCCACATAGCTCAATATTTTGAGATAAAACCCTCAGGCCAGATCAATAAACAATGATAATATTGAACCAATATTCTAGCTATTACTTGTATGTATTTAAAAGCAAAATTATCAAAATGTGTTCTGAAAACCGAAAGACAAAAATGGTCAAATGGGTGAGTGTATTCAGAACTACACTATTATATTGTATCCAATGATCTAAAATCTAAACATAACAAACAGATTAAAGATTCTGCTTTCCATAGATCTCAATCCCTAATATGTACTCCAACTATTAAGCCAAATATAGTGAGGACCAACTTCTATGCACATTTTATAATATTTTTGACTTTTAGTTGGTTGAAATAGCTTTTTACAAGAACAATGGGAATAAAATGAAATGAGGTTTTAATGAAGACGAACATATATGTACGCCATGCAATGTGCTAAGAAAGAAATTCTGATGATTTCTGTCAGATGATTTTTATAATGTGCTGTCAATGGTATATATACATATCACTGTAACCCAGCTATCATTTAATCTTGTGTATCTAGCACTAATTTCTTTCACATTTGTTTAATATCCAATCTTTGTTTAAAAATTCATAAAAACTGTTTAAAATCACCATAAATCATCAGAGGCGGATCCAAGGGGGGGCTCGAGGGGCGCCCTTATTTTGGACAGTGACCTTTTTTACTGCTGAAAGTGCCTTTTCTCAGACCCAAATATGTCCGTTCCCAACCCTTTGCAGGGACCCCAAATGACTCAAACCATCGACTCAAACACACCAGTTAGGTCTAATTAATGCTTCCACTTTCAAACGAATTCTTGTTGTTTAGCTGACGGTGCCCTAATCCTATAGACTGACTATAGACAGACATCAATGATAGCATCTTGTGGAATCGGCAATGCATACACTGAGTGCAACTTGATGTAGCATTGTTTCATGTGTGGACAGTACACAGTACAAGGCTTAAATAGTGAAGTGGCTAGGGAATAGATTCGTCTTTTTTCCCATCATAATGCCTCGCTTGTCTTGACAATTTTCGACTTGCATGTTCAATTGGCTTTTTTGCTCGATTTAAGTAAGGCTCTTTTTCAACGATTTTCGAATGTTTACTTAGACGAAAATATCAGCCAAATAGCTCTTGGAATGGCTACTGATGCAATGAAATGACAGATAATTTTCTTGGGGGGAACACTCCTCCCCCCAAAACCCCCCTCTCAGCGGCGCGCACCGTCTTCACGGTCAGTGCCCTCATTTTGCAGTGCCCCCCTTTTCAAAATTCCTAGATGCGCCCCTGATCATTTAATTTGTACTTGTGTCCAGTTTAAAGCTGACCATTCAATTTTGATAATGAGTATCCAATTTACAAGTGTTTAATTTCTCAATCACCGTTAAAAAATAAACAACCCAGTTGATTAAGAATGTATAATGATTAATTTTTTAACAGTGGACAGGAAATTAAATACTTGTAAATTGAACACTCATTATAAAAATTAATCAGTCAGCTTTAAACTGGACACAAGTTCAAATTAGATGATTTTTGGTGAATTTTTAAACAAAGATCTGATATTAAACAAATGTGAAAGAAATTAGTGCTAGATACACAAGATTAACTGATACCTGGGTTACAGTGTGTACATGGCACCTGTTTTGATCCCATCTGAACCACTAGACACTTTTCCTTGTCAGGACCTGTCCAGCTACCCCATGGTAGAAAATTCTGAGGAACTCTTGGCCAATAGCAGGTTGGAACCTGGGACCTCCTGTTTAGTTGGCCAGTGCCTAACTCACATTGCCATCATGACTTCCAGAAACAATGATGTGAAAGGAGTCTGAAATGCACTGAATAAAGAATAACCACATATATTTACCTTGTGTTAAACACCTTATCCACAAACAATTTCATAAACTCCATACATTCCAATGTAACCTCATCAGGTTGACTGTCTATACTGTAGTTTGAACTCCATGACTTATCAGATCCTTGAGATCCTGAACGATGTACTGGAACACCTCCATATTCTGCATCCGAGGAATCCACGCTTGCTGTTGTGTACAGTCGGTTACTACTCGAATTAGAATCCACACTACTTTGACTGGGATAGGGTGACGTTTTTACATCTGGACTGTGTTGCTCAGATTGATCAAATGACATCAAATCACCAAAAATTGGTTCATTTGAGTTGACATCTATGTCATCATCAGGAGCCACATAATCATCAAATAACATTTCATCCACAGTACTTGATCGTCGTCCTGCTTTCAGTTTTGGTGCCCGTCTTTCTTTTTCTGTTGGTTTATCTTTATCCGAGTCTGCGGAAGATGATGACATGTTGTGTTCCCGTTTAGCCACATGACCGTTTGGCTTAACAGATCTCTGATTCTGTCGAGATTCCATGCTATTACCGCCAGTCGGACCAACCCTTTCTGTGTTCTCTCTTACACAACTTACATTTTCTGTTGGTTCCGAACTTCTTCCTACTGGGGCTTCTCTCTTATTATACAAGGGTTCATCAAAACTAATATTCATTCCATTAACTGTAAGTGTATCATCCACAGAACCTGATGTACTTTCTCTGTTTGCAACAGAACTACTTCTTGGTGGCAGATTTCGTTTCTGAAAACATTTTTCAGATGGTCTTCTTGTCGGTGGGGGTGGGCGTGGCGGGGGTGAATTAACTGGGCTAGTGTTCTCACTACTAGCACTACTACTGGCCCCACTCTTCATGAACGTTGTTTCTATCTTACTAGATAAGTCACTGAATAGTCCATTCTTTTTAGCGATCATGGAAGTAAAAAACTTAGATGTGCCTTCCGTTAGACTGGTAGAGAGGTTTTTGCTTTCATCATCACTACTTCGGCTGGAGCGTCTGTTGTATCCTGATTCCATAATTATGATGACAGAGACGAAAATCGAATAAGATAACCACACTTAATCATACAGACACCACAGTGAGGCAGCCAAGGAAATTAGTCAAATTGGCAAAGATGGAATCGCCAAAAAGCTGTAATAGGGTCTGATTATCAAACCTTTTCTATGATCACGTAGATTTCTAATGCCATCTCACAGACACACAATGCAAGAACATTGATTAACGGTACTCAGTTATCCTAGACTTCTCTGATTGAGATTTATTTTAATTACAATCGTAAAAAATTGTCACACACAAACACTATAACAGATATTCAAACTGAAAGTCAATAATCAGTTTTGGAATGATTATTTCTTTTAGATAAGCACATTAGTCTGTTTTAGACGGAGAATAAAAACACTTTGAAAGTCTCAATATAGTGCTGTATATTTACACTCACCAAGAACTCGGTTTACTGTTTGCTCAAACACTCACTATCTTGCTGCTGAATTACTGAAGTGAAGAAAATTCCAATAGACCTTCACCAGACCTACGGTTGTAGACCAATGCTCTGATATTCCACAGTGAATCAATATCTGGTGCTGACCCCTACTGGCGATCTATCCCAGCTGCCAGTCTGCCTGCAAATATACAATGGATGGATGTAGCTTGTCAGAAGTAATTTGCCGCAATCAATACCAAGTAGCACATAACTGTTTCTCATGTTTATACAACTTAGTCACTCACCCACGCAACATATATTATACCATTCGTTAAGACACCATCAGGTATCTAATAAAAGATCAATTAATGGCTGTTTTACCTAATTATAATAGATCATATGCTTAATTCTTAATTTGTGAAAACAATAGCCTCACTAACAATTACTATTAATAGACCTTAAAATATCAATATTCTATACCATAGCTATATATATCAAATGTAATTATTTGGTGATTAAGATGATAATTAACTATTTCGTTTATAGTGTATATTAGAAGTATACAGATGTCTGACATTTATGTCAATTACTATCATTATTGATTGGACACTTGCAGCATATTTTCACACAGTTGGATAAAATAGTTGTGGTGATATTTCTTATTCTCAGTAGACCACAGAAATCTGGACAATCAATGAATCACATATAATTGATGTTGTACAGTCTACTAGCCTTATTCTCTCAGGCTCTTAATCAACAAATGTTTTTAGAAAAACTCAGGAAATTATATTAATGATATTATATAGCCTACATTTACGAAAACATTAATCAGAAAATACAGATTTTCTAAACATAGGCTAGCATAGAGAGAGATGGAGAGGTAGAGGATTTAAGTTCACTCCACACAAACTGGGTCATTGGGTCATTTCGGGACTAACATATGTTTCAATTTTATGTCAATAATTCGCTTGGAAGTAGGGGTCTTATAGCAGTAGGACCCAGAGAAAACTCACAAGGTTGGACAGGCAACCCTACTCCCTGTCACGTACAAGCGGGAAATTGAAATTATGCCACTTGCCTCAATGACAGACCCTATGATGCAATGTGTACACATTTACCACTCGGCCAACCAACACCCATAACCCATTAGGTAAGAAACAATCCTATTTCACCATATTTCAACCACTGTAAAGAAACATTAACATTTATCTGAAGGCATGGAGACAACCCAAGGGCATTGAACACTTGTCTAAGACGGATCCTGTGTATAAGATGGAAAGATGTAGGAAAGAACAAAGCAGAAAGCCTTCAGGAAACCATCAAAGAAAATAAGCAAGGATCAGTGTGACAATCTGTGGGAAAAATTCATTAAATAAGCAGCCTAACAGCACCAATGTCACTTGTGACATCCTTCTAAATTTGAAATAGATTTAACAGACACAACTTTAATATCTTGTGATACTTCTGTCAGTTTTCTAAAAAAATAAATGCAACATGTAATGTTTGATATTGACAAGTTCTGCATCATTAAAAATATACTCTTCAAAAAAGGTAGGTGATAATCAAAAACAATACAAAACTGCAGAAATGCACTGCAGTTTTTATTAGAGGTAACCAGTGTATGTTAATAACAGGCCAATTCCCTACACATGAACATAAACAGTTCATATAGGCAGCTTATCTGACAGCCCCATTTCACTCGCAAAGAGATACACTGTCAAAAGTGAAAATGGACGTTTTTGATTTTTGTCTTAATAATGAGTAATTGCTCCACCAATCCTCAGCCATTCAGCAATTCATCGTGGCATGCTCCTAATCAACCATCCAATCATGATTTGGAGCAATCTGACTCACTCCTCTTGCAGTGCTACGGCCAATTCTTGCAGTGTTGTTGGTTGACGATCAAATTAAACGTAACACACTAAAGCAAAGATACGCTAAACAGTAAATCTTGTGCAACAACCGATAGGATAGCAAACATGGAAAGGATAAACCAGCACGCGGCAGTTTTCATCAACCCTTCCTTGAAGTGTCAAATTTGACAATGAACCCCTCCCACGTGTATGGCGCTATTTATTGCGTGTCACACATGCAGCTCAGTGGTTCTGTTGGGGTGATAAGTTCTTCATCTGTGAACATACTCTCAAAGCAAGTCAAGTGTCCATGACTATCTATCATATCACAACCTGCATAGGTATTTGCATTTCAATATCCCCTACTTTTTTTGAAGAGTATATATCATGATGTTACGACATAATAGTGAAGAAGCTTCAGTAATTTGATATCGTTTGCAATTTTTTAACATGGTAAAGGATTAAAAGCATCTGCCTCTGAGAGCATTACAGCCATCCATGTATCTTTTGAATAGTGTACAGACAATTGGTGCCAGTTAACTTGAACTATTAGACATTTATTAACATGACAAGATCATAATCAACTTTCTAGACTATAGGATGGATCTGCTTTTAAATAAATTAGAATGGTTCTGCCATTTGATGATTTAATTTACCAGCGGCTGCCAGATAGGATACGCCCACATTTTGCAACAGATGGATCGAGAACAAGCTAAAAACAAACATGATTTTTTGTACAATCAGGGGCAAAAATCCAGAAAGTTATGGCCTAAAATGTGCAAATATCAAAAGGGACTGAGATATTTGGGATATAAAGATATATTTTAAGTTTCATCAAAATCGGATAAAAATTGTGACCTCTAAAGGGTCCACAACCTTCGTATTACACACTTCTACACAATTTACATAGAAAGAGTGGTCATTTTGTCGGGCAGTTTCATTTCGATTTTCCCGAAATACGACTTAATCTTCATTATGGTGGAATGGTGATGTATTCAAATGTTTTTTTTAAATCGAATAATAATTGTGACCTCTAGAGGGACCACAAGCTAAAAACGCAATTTTTCGTACAACCAGAGGCCATTATTCAGGAAGTTACGATCTGATATGCACGAATATTGAACGGAATCGATATCTTTGGGTTATAAACTTTCATTTCAAGTTTCATCAAAATCGGATCAAAATTGTGACCTCTAGAAGGTCCACAACTTTGATATACCAGATGTTTACACTATTTGCGTTCGAGGGGCGGCCATTTTGTCTGGCAATATTGGTCCTATTTTCAGGAAACTCAACCTTAGACAAAATTACGGTGTAACGGTGATATATTCGAACGTTTTTTTAAATCAGATAATAATTGTGACCTCTAGAGGGACCACAAGCTAAAAATGTGATTTTTTGAAAAAGTAGGGCCCATAATTCGGGAAGTTACGATTCGATATGCACGAAAATAGAAAAGAACCAAGATATTTGGGTTATAAACATGCATTTCAAATTTCAACAAAATCAGATGACAATTGTGACCTCCAGGGGGTCCATAACCCTGATACACAATATTTTGACACTATTTGCGAACGAGGGGCGGCCATTTTGTCCGTCAGTTTCAGTCCGATTTTTACCAAATTCGAACTCAACCATCCTTAGGGTGTAATGGTGATATATTCACACGGACAGGGGCGACGACAATATACATCCACATGAAAATGTGGGCGTATAAAAATGGAGGACGAGGCTCAGTCTCGAATATACCAGTACCTTGGTTACGATAATAAACAATCATTGCACACATCTTGCGAAAACTAAACAATGATAACTTCGTTCAAAATAAAGTAAACAAAGAGGAGGGGGACACTTTGGGACTATATCTTATAGGTAATGCCATCCAGTGCGAATGATCTGAAAGTGTGAATCCATTTAAATTCAATGGCAATCACTACAGACACTATCTCCAAATCAGCAGAGGCTGAAAATAACAGATCGTTGGGTTAGAGCAAAAACATCGTAAGTGACATTTTTTAATTGTGGAGAAAAACGACTTTAAAGGTTGAAACATTTCTGGTTAATCCAATTTTTTTACAATATATTTCAATTTTCTCCAGTTGACTTATAATATTAAAGGTAACTGAAATGTTTTAGTACAATTTTGGAATTACAATTATTTACACCCATTCTGTCCAAAATATCACTAACGATGTTTTTGCCCTGAATTGAATTTAATATTCACTCAATTAGTTTAGTGCAAAAACATTAATTGTAAGTTTTCCTTTGGCTTTACTTTACCAGCACTGGTATTTGAGTATGGTGTGATTGGGGAGTGGGGAGGCGCTTTTAGTGATCTTCAAATCATCATTAAATACTTGCTTGTCATTTTTCACATATATATATATATTAATGCAACTATAGAAGTATTACGAATGAGCTAATACAGTTTTTATCATAGGCTACTAAAGGTAGGCTATATTGATGCAAAAATCTAATGCATTTGTTAACATGTCTTGCTAACACTGTTATATAGATATCGGAAATACATTTCTAGAAATGTCGACAGTCACTTCTGCAAGTTTTAGCAGATTAGTTTTCTTTTAGGTTTACTTATCAATGACTTAGTTTTTTCCGTATAATTGGCTCTATTAACATTTTCTGATGTTCACATTTCCTAGTTTTTTTTTATAGGATTTTGGGTTTTAATATTTTATCACCTCCTGTTTTATCAGCACAATATACAACAATATCCCCATCTGAGATTGAAGGAAAGTAAGCCTAAAAACTGTTTATTTTAATCACCTCCAATCTGTTACCATGGAAACGTAGCTGCGATGTCATCAATTATGACGTCATATCAGTTATGATATGTTTTGGGGATGAGGAGAGCTAGGTGTGGGAGATGGGTGTTGGGGTTTGATACAACTTTCAATCTTGGCAATGTTTTGTCATTGTGTCTTCATACGAAAAGACAATGGTTTTAAATCAAATAACAGGCTAAAAGTCGTAACTAAACATTTTTTTTACAATGAATTGGTGTAGTTTAATTCTTATACATGTATAGCAGATACAGATAGCAGAATGCTTAACCGTTGTTTTTAGATAACATAATAAACTCCTAATACCCTCTTCGGCTTCAAGGTAAAATAATTAATCACTTCAACTTAGTGGAATTATATATCCACATTGTATAAAATTGGTTACTCGTGTGTAGCTAGATGTTTTGTTTTGCTGGAACAAAACAACAGACTATGATAGTGAGATCATTCTTATAGGGTATAAGGAACAAGTATGTAAAGTTTCAAGACGATCAATTAAGAATTGTGGCCTGTAGGCGACACATACAGACAGACAGGGGTGACAGCAAGATATGTCCACAATATGAATGTGGACAGATAAAAATGATAAATGATATTTATTTGTGATCTTCATAACTTGGTCCCAGTGGTCTTATATTTCGACCCAAGTAGTAAACTAAACAAAACAATTTTGGGATGAGTGGTTTTTTTTAAAGTTGGGATGAGTTGTCTTTCATCTTGGGATGAGTTTTTTTTTATATCTTGGGATGAGTTGTCTTATATTGGGGTGAGTTGTCTTGGGATGAGTAGTCTTTAGGATGAGTTGTCAGGTATCCCTTTAGTGAATGCTTTCAAAAGGTTTTGGGTTTAAATGAGCAGAAGTTTACAAATTAGATATCTCTGCCTGTGGACATACATGTACATATAAAGGCAAGAAGATGAGAAGTCGGTTTTAATTCTTGAGAAGATTCTGGAGATTTGGGCAATTATAAATGCACAATATATATTATACAGATCGCCAAATTCAGAAATTTTCTGAATTGTCAGCATCGTATATTATACAGTAATACAGATTGCCAAATTCTGAAATTTTCTCATTTGTCAGCTTCGTATGTTATACAGATCACCAAATTTAGAGAAAAAAAAACCCATTTCTATTAGAACAGATAATTAAATATAGAAATTTTTTGAATATATCATTAATATTATTTGACAACAATATATAGAACTAATTAACAAGAGATGTGGGCCGAGAAAGTTCATCCAGATTTTCCGGCGTGGTTCTCCCTTGTCAGTGATGCAGGACGGAGGGGCTGACAAGGAAAGCTGTCTAGTCGTTCGGATGGGACGAAAAACCGAAGTCCCGTGTACACATTGGCGTGCACGTAAAAGATCCCTTGGCAGTTGGAATTCGATATAAGAGTAGGCCGTAGTGCCGCTGTTCGGGCAAAATTTCCCTCATAGCACACTGTATGGCGTATGCCCGTCTTCATTAGCCCTGGTTAGGAGCAGAATAGTAGGACGTTAAACCCCAATTCATTTCATTTCATTTCCTATTGCAGGTCTTTCTTTAGGCCAGAAATGTTATCTGAATTATTAATTAGACATTTATTAACTTATTCAGACCATAATCAACTCTCGATGTCATCGCTAGCCAGTGATATTTACTGGATTGGAATCTGATCTGCTGATCAATGCTCATTGCATGATGATTAAATTAAAAAATGGATAATCGAGACTATGTTTCTTATCGTACCTATTTTAGTAATGATGATTGAGGCAAGGCCTAAAATTCAAGCGCTAAATTCTTGGTTCGGAGTGGATCAATTTGACTGAAATTTTCAGCAAATTCCCTTTACATTATCCAGATTTTAACTATTATAGTGAGAACTGCCAGCTCTTTATCTAATCTCCCATACATGTACGTATCTTTAAGATTTTACTTTTTGATATACCTCTAGGGGGATCACGTGGCTAAATGGGTAAGACGCTGGCTCGCTAGTCTGGAGGTCGGGGGTTCGATCCCTGCATTGGCCGAGAAAGACCATTCAGATTTTCCAGCGTGGTTTCCCCTTGTCAGTGATGCAGGATGGAGGGCCTGACAAGGACAGCTGTCTAGTCATTTTGGATAGGACGAAAAACTGAGGTCGCGTGTACACATTGGCATGCACGTAAAAGATCCCTTGGCAGTTGGAATTTGATAAGAGTAGGCCCTAGGCCTTAGCGCCGCTGCCCTGGCAAAATTTCCCACATAGCACACTGTATGGCGTATGCCTGTCTTCATTAGCCCAGGAATTAGGAGCAGAACAGTAGGACGTTAAACCCCATTTTATTTCATTTCGATATACCTCTAGCTAGGATGGCATCAGTTTGACTTGACTTGTGTGGCTTTGTTCTGTGAAATACTGTTTAGTGTATATAAATGATCTTTTTGTCATTAATTCAAATTTACAAAACATATCTACATGTACGACACAGTATTTCATCGAACGTTCGTGAAGCACAATCTATGTTTCAAATTACCCGCAATAATCTTTCTAAAGGTAATGATTATTCTTGGCAGATTGACAGAATGTTTGTAAACAACCACCTGTTTGGTTCGCATTAAAGTAGGATAGTCCATTTCATATATAGGTGGGGCGGTTATTTCTGCAAATGAAATATAAATTTGCCATAATATACTATATGATATTTAGTAAATTGTGTCAAATACATTTTTAGAATAACTGCTATTAAATATTTTTGATTCGAATACACAGAAACGATTATCATTGATCTTTAAAATACAAATTTGGTCCTGCTTTCAGTATCTGGAATGGACCTGTCCTTGATAACGGAAATCTCGCAAGATCCGAGAAATATGGCGGCGCCCATGGTTGTAAAATTATTAAGGTCAATAAAAATGTACTTTACTTTGAATAAACGAACATTCTACAAGACAAACTAAACTAAAGTCATGTAATGCAAGATAAGATATGCATTGTACTGAACACCCCGTTGTGGCGGCATATGGGTTTCTATTCTTAATTTGGTCATGAACCTTTTAACAAATTTTAATAGGTAAAAGAAGAAAAGGTCCATATGGCATATGTCAATTGTCATGAAAGACATGATGATTTGGTTTGTTCAGTTGTTGGGATGAAAATCACTGAATCAGTGCTTTGAAAGGCTTCTTACCTTCCTGTACAGTGATAGACCTTTATTTTAGTTTATATATTTTTTCCATTATCATAAACACAATTATTGATGATTTGCCTTTTCAGTTCGAGTTGACACTTCACTTCATTCCATGAAGTCGCGTGTCAGTCCCTGTGAACGCCTGAACAATATAAATGAACATCTTAGTGAGAAAATAAGACCTTGCTTACCTCGCTAGAGTCGTTAAGAGCGACACAACACGCTGTTAAAAAATACGCCTCCGTCTTCTAACCGACTTGCAGGACATCATTGAAAGGGTAACGCACAAATTTAAGAACTCGACCATATAAGATGAAACGAAATGTAGCGAGGTAAGCAAGGTCTTATTTTCTCACTAAGATGTTCATTTATATTGTTCAGGCGTTCACAGGACTGACACGCGAACGTTTAGCAGTAAAAAGTTGCCCAGTAAAATTGACTGGGAAACAAAATCTTGTCGACAAGGTTTCAATAGAAGAGTCCCTGAATGTAGAGGCCGAGTGTAATGAGACCTCATTCAGAGCTGAACTAGCTTTCCCCTTGTCAGTGGTACAATAGGACGTTAAAGACCACGTAAGATCAAAAATCTAAATTGCATTTATGTATAGCCCATGGTTACTATATCAACTTTACGGCAAGTTCACACCAATCTGATTAAAATTAAGTCCGCTGTTAACGTTTAAGTATCCGACACGCCAAAACGCTTTTCAATTACGACCTTAATCCGGTTGATTGGCTGGTGACGTCACAGGCACTACACATAGGATATACATTATCTATACAATATCTCACTGTCTGTACAATATAGCACTACCAATACACACGGCAACTGGACAAGCGTCTATTGACGGTCCAATTACCACGTGACTGGCCTAATCATAATCACCGGATTATCGTCTTTCATTGGTATAGATTAGACATTTGTGATTGGAATATTTTAGAGTGAATTTAAAATGCTGTATCATGCCGTAGATCAATTTAAGCTGCCTTTGTTTAAATAGGCCACGTGTCAAATGAAGATGACTCAAGAAATCAGCGCATTTACCGGTAATTTGGATAACCCCGTAATACTTGATATCCCAAACTTAAGTACAGAAATACAAATAGTGCCAGTCATCTGTCGATATATTCATTATTAGCTATATATAATAATAATAACCATTTCTATACATAACGAACAACTACAGTGAATATGGAATTTTCCGATGACTATGCATAACATGTACAATAGATCGCATTCATTTCTCTGCCAATCAACGCTTGGTATCTTATTATCATGTACCGTTCCATGTACTAGGGGTGTAGTAAATGAGGTTAAACTTCGCCGCGAAAATTGCACGGGATCATTCGTGCCGTTTGGTGAGTAATTAAACTGTCAATGCAATTGTAAAATACTTTTATTATAAAGAAGATAACCGATGTTAGACATTATAACCTAATCGTATCAAAAACGTTAATCCATCCATCAATTAAATGTTGTTTAAACGCCAATCAACAAATAATATGAGGCTACTTGATTACAAAAACTTTTAAACAACTTATTAGTAAAACTTAATTATTTTATACAATTAATGTGTGTGTGTATGATTCTACCATTAGTTCGTTCGTGAGGTATTACGCACACGTTCCACTTAGAGTGATGTCTTTGATCTGGCCGGCGTAAAAAAGATAATTACCTAATCAACATTCTTAATCCCACTAACACTCACTGCTTTGCCAACGTGTAAACTTTTATAGTCGGATTGATTAATTAATGACGGATATTAACGACACTACACTTTATGTGGAAAAGCGAAGTGCTCGCAGTAAAAAACACATAGCTGGACCCGTATATTATTTACATATTAAAAGTGTTCGTCCAATAAGTTCAATATTGTAAAAAATTAATTAAGAGTTCAAGACTTCAAAGTTTAAAAGTTGTAGGCACTCTAAATTGGATCTTAAATTAAAATGAATTACAAAACAAATTATTCCGTAGTCAATTGTTTTATTTAATTAGGGGGGTTAAGGAATCCTTCAGGCGTTAAAGAATACACACGCCGGCTGTACATAGGTAATTAAGGAATAAACATTCCGAATATGCATTCCGTCACTGGCGTCTGAGGGGATTAAGAGTGTTTTCGATAATTGGCAAAGTCGTTTTTACGGAAGGTCTATTTTTACGACTTTGAGTGAAGATAACTGAATTAATTTCAACCAGATTGGCGTGAACTTGCCGTAAAGTGGATATAGTAACCATTGGCTACACGTATCTCAAAGTTTCCAGGCCCATCTTATGTGCACTTTAAAGCCCATTTCATTTCATTCCTTGTTAGTGGTGCAACCGAGGCCCTGGTAAATAAAAGTACATTATATAAGCTATAGCTACCTGTCTGGATGGGAAGAAAGAATGGTCGCCAAACTGTTGGAAATTGGAAGAGTAGAAACTACATATGTAGTGCCAATATCAGAGCAAAAAATTTATGAAAGTCTTCATAAGCCTAGCTAGTTGGTGCAGAAAAGTAAAACATTTAAGCATCTTTTCATTTCACTCTTCAGTTTCCAGATTCGGTAGGCTCTTATAACCACTAAACTCTGTCCGGCAGGATAGTAGATGAACACCCTTTCTAGGTTTATTAATAGGATTTTATAGGACAAAATTGGAGATAAGGGCAGAAATTCTTGGGTAAAACTGTTTTTTTGTTGGATGTATTTTAAAGGGTGTCAGTTAACAAATCCACATACAAACTTGTCCACAAATGGGTCGTCCACAACCATTGGTTAAGTCGTCCACAGGGTATTAATTATGTCGTCCACAACTAATAGATCACTTGTACGCACGTTAATGTAAGGAATAAATAAGTTTAACTCATCGGTTGCTTTAATATTGTTTTATTTACCCCAAAATCTACAAGCTTAATTGACCAATGATAGCCGAGATTAGTTCACCAATGTTATTGTAATAAAGTAGCCCTGTATTGATTGGTGATTGGCGTTATGATTTTAGACATAATGAATACAAATCAATGATTTTCGACAACATTTAATTGACTTGATATGAAATCTGAATATAAATTATTCGATGAATAAACATTTGTGATTAGATTGGTTTATGATGTCTAACATCATTTATCTTCTTTATAAAAAGGTATTTTACAATTACATTGACAGCTTAATCACTCACCAAAAGACATCACGTTTTTATTATCCATGTCCATGAAGCCTGTGCCATTTTCGCATCAAATTTAACCTTAGTTACTACTACCAATGTATTTTGATATTTGTGGACGACTTACCTAGACTTTTTGTGTGGATGAGTTTGTTAGTGAATGAGTTAACTGGCATTCATTTTAAATCATTAAAGTTACAGGACCAGATTACATGTATGGCAGGGGGGTTGGATGGCCGAATGGTTAGCACGCGCGCGTTGTATCATACGGTCTGTCATTGAGTCAACTGGCGGGGTTTCGATTCCCTGGTTGTACGTGACAAGGAGTAGGGTTGCCTGTCCAACCTTGTGGGTTTTCTCCGGGTCCTCCGGTTTCCTCCCACTGCTAAAGACCCCTACGCGCAAGCGAATTATTGAAATAAAATTAAACCATATGTTAGTCCCGAAATGACCTAGTTTGTGTCGAGTGGACGTTAAACCCCATTTCTCTCTCTCTCTCTACATGTATGGCAAATGAGTACCGTAAAAGTATGTGAATCAAAGGCCAAAATGTATATACATGTAACTAACATAATAATATTTTTAAAAAAAACCCACCCACAATGGTTTCTCCATAAAAAAACACATCCAACAAAGTAATTTTCGAACAGTGACAACTGACCTTATGTGCTTATGCTACTACAAAACCGGTTGTTGTTAACTCATCATGTTGTCGTCCAGTATGTGAATGTGCACTTCCTTGATTCTAGTTGATATTGCCAACAAATTGTCATCCAATCACCATATTCTCACTTCTTATAGTAAGTTGCCACAACTCTATTCCAACCCATTCCCTGGAATATTGCTAGTCTGTTTTTCCTAAGACAAAAAACTAGAATTGTTAATAATTAAAGAAAATGATGCTAGTCAAGTTGGCTTGAAGATATATGTCTTCTGTCTTTGATTGTTATACTCTTTTTATAGGCCCACATTGAAATGTGGTTGTATATTGTACTCGCCCCTGTCCGTCGGTCTGGCGTCCACAATTGCTTGTGGACGCTCTAGAGGCTACAGTTAATATCTGATTGACTTTTAATTTATACACAGTGTTTAAGGTCATGAGACGAAGAAGCCTATTGATATTCAGCGATTTCCGATAATTACTGCCAGAGTTATGGCCCATGATCACTTTGGAAAATCTTGTGGATGCTCTAAAGGCCAAAGTTAATATCCGAATGACTTTAAATTTATACAGTGTTTAAGGTCATGAGACGAAGAAGCCTATTGATTTTCAGTGATTTCCGATAATTACTGCCAGAGTTATGGCTCTTGATCACTTTAAAAAATCTTGGGGACGCTCTGGAGGCCAAAGTTAATATCCGATTGACTTTAAATTTATACACAGTGTTTGAGGTCATGAGACAAAGAGGTCTATTGATTTTCAGCGATATTAGATAATTACTGCCAGAGTTATGGCCCTTGATCACTTCAAGGAATCTTGTGGACGCTCTAGAGGCCAATGTTAATATACGATTGATCTTAAATTTATACATAGTGTTTAAGGTCATGAGACGAAGAATCCTATTGATTTTCAACAATTTCTGATAATTACTGCCAAAGTTATGGCCCTTGATCACTTTGTGATGCTCTAAAGGCTAAAGTTATCATCCGATTGACTTCAGATTAATACACAGAGTTTAAGATCTTGAGACGAACAAGTTATATTGATTTTCAATGAATTTTTATGACTTGAACAACTAAATCCATGATATTAAAAGTTTTGTATACAAAACGTTAGCATGGGGCAGAACTTTATAAAAACCAAACAAATTCTAATGGTTTTCTGATAATAACTTCATGAGTTGTTGCTCTTAATCAGATTTTAGTGTATTATAAATGTTTCGTTACCGAAAAAAGTAAAAATATGCGACAACTCTTGTTGACTGCCCGGACGATTTAGCTGCTGTGGTTGTATGTTTCGTTGCCTGACAACCTATCTTTATATTTTCTTGTTCTTTTTTTCCCAGGAATATTGTCCAGAATAAAGTGAAATGAAAATACCTTATGATGTTCCTGAAGCATTCATTCTAGTTCAATGGATCTATAGATGATGGCATGGCCTTGTAAATTATCAGTCGTCATGTGTCATTATATACGAGGCAATCGTATAATACGATTCCTTGTTCTTGCTTTTAGTTTAGTTTTTTATTGTGAATATATACATTATTATGTGGTGTTGCTTCAGTGTACGTGGCCACAGGCAGGGACATATAGTTTTGATGGAACGCCTCTAGGACTAGAAAATAAACCATTAAAGGCTATGATATTAGCTGATACTCATTTATTAGGATTTAAGCAAGGTCACTGGTTTGATAAACTTAGAAGGTAAAATAACACTTCTTTTGATTATAGAATAGTGAGTTATTGCATGACATCTTGCATTAAAGTTATTCCCTGTTCAGAGAGTCAAATACTTCTATAATCATCATTCAAGGTTTACTACAAGGGAGCAGGTCCAAAAACATTGTAGAAGTGCACATAGCCAAACATACCCTCTGTGGTTGAGACGGCTGTAAAATGTTATTCAAATTCATAAATGATAACTTCCCAAAATTCTCTCATTTTTGTACACAAATTGATTAGTTTTTTCATGAAAATATCTCATTTTCAGAAAAAACTAATTAAAGGAAGATAAGCATGTATGTGGTCATCTGCCACCATTCACCCCTTGCCTAATATACTTATAGAAGTGTACCCTATTTTGCCTGTCAAATTACCATACAATATGCATATAGTTTTGATGTTTACCTCCCCTACATGTAACCAGTATATATATTTGTTTAATTCTTATTGCAATGTCTTAGGGAATGGCAAATGCAAAGGGCCTTTCAAACAGCTATGATGTTACACAGTCCTGACATAGTTTTTATTCTGGGTAAGTATTATCTATAAATCGCCAATGGTACCAGCTTTAAGTACATTTTTTTAAAATTAACACCTGTGGGGCATACTTAATTTGAACAACCTAAAAGTGCACTGCCTACTATCAAATTAATTCCAAATGTATTAGAAATATTGGTGCTTAGTTGTAATAACATTAAGTCTAACTAAGTTTACTTGGTAAAGCATGGATCCTGAAAATGAAATCCTTAGCATATTTTTACACTTCTAATTTGTGTGATAATTGTGAAATTATATTCTTTACCTTTCATTTGACAGGAGATCTATTAGATGAAGGAAAATGGTGTAATGATTCTGAGTTTGAATATCATGTAAAAAGATTTCATAAAATGTTTAGCAGTCCATATAAAACTGATGTGCAAGTGTTAGTTGGAAACCATGATATAGGCTTTCATTATATGTAAGTTTTATAAAACTAATACACAAAATATTTTGTTATAGATTATTTGGGTTAATTACAATAATCCACATTACACCTTGAAATATTATATCTAAACCTAAAAATAGCAGATATGAGTTTTGAAGAAAATGTGACAATTATGTTTCCTCAGTATGTGCATTTGCAATGAATAAATTTCACTGATTTGTCCCATGGAAACTGAAGCATATATAAGAAGATATTTGATGAAAAACGTCGAGTATCAGTTTAGTTCAATAAGACAAAGGGGGGCAGCATGGGGAAATGTTTGAGACTGTGGCGCATGCTAGAATCAATTTGATGTATATCTGAGCCATTGCATACCATACATTACCATTTGGTTAAGGGATTATGATTAGTTCTGAAGATCTGAGCATGAACATAGTTAGCTGCAATCAAGAACTAAATGACCTGTGAGTGAAGAAAAACAAAGGGTACCTGCCAAGTTTCATTCGATTCTGAAGAGGGGGCACATTTTCCGAAGGGAGGGCACATATAAATCCACACACACACACCACTACAACCTGGTAGGAAATCGCATTGGATTCGAGCGTTATCAACCATTTCCATTTTCTTTTGTTTTTGCATTTGGTGCCTCTGTTTTGTGTTGAGCTAACTATGAACAGTTTAATAAAAAAAACTATATTAAATTTAGTAAACAGACATCATAGACCAGGAGCTCAAGGAGGGGTCAACCTAGCTGAAAAGTGTACCAATTGTCTCCTATATGGTATCAATGCATGCATATCTGGTATCATCAGAATGTATTATGCCGTCGCCCCTGTCCTTCCGTCCGTCCGTCCACAATTTGTTTGTGGACACTCTACAGGTCACAATTTTCATCCGATTTTGACGAAACTTGAAATGTAGATCTATGACGAAACTTGAAATATAGGTCTGTCTCCAAATTGAAATGAAACTGCCCGACAAAATGTCCGCTCTTTGTACGCAAATTGTGTAAAAGTATGCAATATGAAAGTTGTGGCCCCTCTAGAGGTCACAATTTTTATCCGATTTTGATGAAACTTTAAACATATCTTTATATCCAAAAGATCTCTGTCCCTTTTGATATTTGTGCATTTCAGACCATAACTTTCTTGATTATTGCCCCTGATTGTACAAAAAATCCTGTTTGTTTTTAGCTTGTTCTCTATCCATCTCTTGCAAAATGTGGGCGTATTCTGCCTGCCACCGCTGGTTATCCAATTTTGATGAAACTTAAAATATATCTTTATATCCCAAATATCTCAGTCTCTTTCGATATTTGCCCATTTCAGACCATAACCTTCTGCATTTTGGCCCCTGATGGTACGAAAAGTTGCTTTTGTTTTTAGCTTGTTCTCTATTCCATCTCTTGCAAAATGTGTGCGTATCTTGCCTGGCAACCACTGGTTAACTTTTTAGACGACAGGAACAGTGCCCGCTAATCTGTCCTAGTTGGGGACCGTGGCATTTTGGGCGTGTCTGTTACCGGTAACCCACTGCACAAACTGTCTGGCAGTGGTCATTCATGATTTCTATGGTGGTACTGAATAACTGAACGACTCCAAAGCTGATTAGGTGGTACAGATTTCAGCTAATCTAGCCTGGCTATGGTCTGAAATTAGACAACTCTTGTCAGGGATACTCCACCACTAAAAATGTCTGGCAATTACATAGCTCTGTCAGGGGTACCCCACCACTAGAAATGTCTGTCAGTGTTGTTTTTGTAATACCTGAAGATGTACGGTGTACATCGCTGTACAATTTTCATGTTGTACACTTTTGAGCTAATCTAGCCTAGTTGTGGGGCATGGCATTTTGTCCGGATGGACGGACAGGGGCCACGGCATAATACATTCTAATGATACCAGATATACATGCATTGATACCATATAGGAGAAAATTGGAACACATTTCAGCTAGCTTGACCCTCCTGGGCTCCCGCTCTATAGGTCTTCCTTACTTTGTACACAGAGAGCTTGCCCTTTGACACGTGAGATTAACCCAATTCAGCACATTATCTTATGGAGTCATGCTCTTTTACAGAAATTCTACAGTTTAGTTGAAAGTAACATTGATTTAATAACAAAGATGTATATATCTCGCTTGATATGGTTTTTTTTTAAAAAAGTGTGTTTTTTTTCATAATTACAGGATGACTCATCACAAACATAAAAGATTTCAAAAGGGCTTTAATTCACCATCTGTTAAGATTATTCGGAAAAAAAAGAATATATTTATATTGTTAAATAGTATGTCATTTGAAGGTGATGAGTGTAATTTATGTAAAGAAGCTATGGGAGAATTAATGGAAGTAAAACGCCAACTAGAGTGTTCTCAGGTAATACTGCTGAAAGTTTTAACAAATGATTTTAATATTGACATTTGGGTTGTGTGGCTCAATGGTCTAACGATTGCACATTAGATCATAAGGTCTGTCATTGAGTCAAGTGTAGTGATTTGGGTTCCCAGCTTCTACATAACAAGCAGTAGATTGTGTCCTATTTAATTCAGGGGAGAGCAAAAACATTTTTGTCAACTCCACTTCACAAGGATACCAAAATAAACTTAAGGATGAATTTCCAAAAGGCAGTCCCAATAGTTATTATTGATTGGAGTTATATTAAAGGAAGTACAAAAAAAGTGGGCATATGTTGTTGTCAACCGTGTCCACTACTCCGTTCAAATAGTAAGAAGCTTTGAATCAAATTGGGTGAAACTTGCAGAGGTTTATTATTATATTCTAATTGAACTAGAATGTTCAAACTAGGTGTATGGCAGGGTATCGGGTTCACAATGCAATCTAGAGTAAAAAGCAGAAAGTCATCAGTAAAAAGTAGAAAATCTAAATTAAACGGGAAAATTCTTATCTAAAAGGGTATTTTTATGGTGAAAACCTATAAATTTATGTACTTAGTCTGCAGAAACATCAAGCTTTTCAACTTTCATGGTCATAATTTCTACTTTCTACTATCAACTTTTGACTTTTGACTTTCCGCTTTCTACTTTCTACTGTTAACTTTTAACTCTCGACTTTCCACTTCAGATTATCTACTCACGATTTTCTAAAGCAGATTTTCTCCAATACTATGGTGGCTGATAGTGGCCATGTAATTTTTCACAATTTTCATAACCCGTCAACACGACATAACGACAGTATTAGTGAGAGCATACGTCAAAGTAGACTTGGATATTAGTGACTTTTCACAAGCGTAAATTCCTGGTCCGCATCGCGTATCCGTATGGATTTTGCGTGTGACGTCATCAATGTGTGTGTATTTCTCATACGTGATACGGCACACGGATGCGGCAGCACGTATCGAACAGCTTTCATACGGAAAGGGTCCGTATAACATCGTCGTCTTTTTTTGCTACTTTTTATCGCCTTTTTTGCTACTTTTATACGCTGAAATGTTGTTGCATAGCGTTTTTATGAATCCATGTGTATCCTAGAATACGAAGGTGTATATTTGATGTGATTTTAACCATGATAAAGACGGGAATTTAATCATTATTTTTGATAAGTTTTTCTCGGTATTTTCATATTTTTCCTGTTTGTCTGCATGCTGAATGATCTACGTGCTAAATTTAGGGAGGTGGGACCATGCAAATCTGTAACTGATGTGATTCTACCGTAAAGGGGTATAAACTTTCTGAAATGAGTGAAACCAAAAATTGCTGTCGAGTCTAGGCATTTGTGGCTAGGCACTTGACTAGCACTGATGGTGATTTTGGTAGGTAACCGTCGTCATGTTGTAAGAGCTAAGCTCAACTAATCATACGTACGCGGCACGAACGTCTGTCAAAACTCTAAAACTACACTGACGCAACGTATCACGTATACAATATCATGGATGTGAAAGATTCCGCTTGCCAAAAGTCTATAATATCCAAGTCTACTTTGAGGTATTCTCTCACTAATACTGTCGTTATGTCGTGTTGACGGGTTATGAAAATGGCGAAAAATTACATGGCCACAATCAGCCACCATAGTATTGGAGAAAATCTGCGCTAGAAAATCGTGAGTAGAAAATCTGAAGTGGAAAGTCGAGAGTCAAAAGTTGACAGTAGAAAGTAGAAAGCCGAAAGTCAAAAGTTGATAGTAGAAAGTAGAAATTATGTCCATGAAAGTTGAAAAGCTTGATGTTTCTGCAGACTAAGTACATAGGGTGAGAATGATGAAACTCAGAGTATAGATTCATTAAATCAATACCTTGACTAAGTTCAATGATGAGAATTTTTTCTGCTTAGGCTAAGTAGCGATTAGCAATTTGATTGTTCAAGACTTTGGAACATACATAATATATGTTACAACTCTGCTTTTAATTGAGGCATAGATGTTCATTACTGACATTAGGTGAATATCTTGACTGAGTTCAATGATTAATATTTTCCGCTAAAGCTAAGCAGAGCTAAGGAATTTTATTTGTCGATGCCTTGGAACAAGATAACTTTGATTCTAACTGATGGAGGGTGATGAAACTTAAGTGTATAGTTTCACTACCAGGTACTTCAAAACCTTGACTGAATTCGATCGTGAACATTTTATGCCTAGACTAAGTACAGATAATCAGTTTGATTGCTCGACACTTTTCAAAAAAATAAATTTGCAATTTATTAGTATGTGTCATCTATTTATATTGGGATTGAGGCTGGGGACATCAGACTCACTGTTGGCTTGTTTAATATTTAAGATGGCTCCACCCCCAAATACAATATTGCCTGTTCCCCATCAATCACCAAATATATGTTTATGCCATTGTACTTTTTCAAATTTAAAAAAACTCAAAAACTTTCTTTTCTTTTCTAGAAAATATTAGCAGATGAAGCTAATCCTAATTACTGTAAAAAGTATAAACATTTGCCATATGTCCGTCCAATAATCTTACAGGTAATGTTAGATGTTTTTGGAGAAAAGAATCATTATGGGTTTACATTTGCATTGATTTTGAGTTACATTATATGATAAATATCAAGCAGTGTATATTATGGTTGTCAAATAGATAGGAGCCACACCTGGTTCAACCATAGTGTTGGTCATGAAAATTCTTCAAACTTTTCCAGTGTAGTTTCCTTCTGTCAGTGTTACAAGACAGTTTTCCTGTTAAGGAACAGAGTCTAGTTGTTCGGATGGCATGACAAACCAAGGACCTCTATACACATTGGTTTGCACGATCAAGGACACTTTACAATTGGAATTCGAAACAAGGGTATGTTGTTGCATTGATGTCCAGGCAAAATTTCCCTTATAGCACACTGCATGGTGTATACCCGTTAGCCCGTATGAGGCGAGTGGAGCAGAAAAGTAGGAGCCTGGTACTAATTTCTACATTTTAAAAATATATTTTCTTGACAATTGCAATCTTACAATAAATACATACATACAAACTATATTCAAACTACCAGGTTAAATATATTTGATGTCACAAACATTATATCTTATATATAGGATACATCGATCTAAAAATTAAATAATACATTATACTAATGCAGGTGCCACTATGAATGACAGATCAGACGATGTTGGGATTGGTGCCCTAGCAATGAGCACTGTAACACAACATGTAACAACAGCACATGTTCATAGAAAAAATGGCTAAACAGTAGTTGACTGTGTGTAATAATTAACTTTGTTAATTTTATGTGGGCTTATTAAGTAATTTGAGTGTATAATTTAATTTAAAAGAAATATTCATTATGATAAAACTAAGTTCTGTGTGGGTTGAATACATGTAGATGACCTGATTATGCTAGACAGTAACTATCTCTAATACCCGTCTCTTAGTATTATTGATGAATAATGTTTATAACTATCGGGATATTTGTAGCATTTTCCTATGTACAGACAGTCAGATGAAGAATGTACAACAGAGGATGCTGCACCTTTTAAAGACAAATCTATTCCTTTTAAACCAAAATATGATTGTCTTTCAGAAGATGCAACCAATTTGGTAAGAATCATATCATTTTCTTTTCTAGAATCCTTAAAAAGTAACAAGTTCAAATAAATGTTATTATTTGTTATTCTCTATTAAATAGAAAATAAATCTCAGAGAGATAACAAATATTCTCTGCATTAGTTACAGTGATTGATGGTGGGTTTCAGGCTTCCCTGGCATACTATATCTACTACTAGCTATTGTATGGAATCTCTCCTTTCTCAACTGAATAGGAATTTGATGTCTCAAAATGAATGCCTCTTGCATCACGACCTTAGAGAGACAGAATTGGGGTCACAGATTTTTGAATAGAATGTTGTTGGGTAGTGGCAAAGTACAGGCTGTGAGAAAGGCAGCTTAAAGCGCACTGTTGAGGGTTCATGTGGCAAATTTTAATCAAAATTTTTTGTTAAATATCTTATGTTTTTCTGTAGTTATTTGATTGGTTTAATCCTCGTCTTGTTGTAAGTGCACATACTCATCATGGCTGTTACAAAGTTCACCAAAATAACATTCCAGAATGGACAGTAGCTTCTTTTAGCTGGAGAAATAAAAATAATCCAACATTCTTGTTGGTATGTATTCAATAATACTTATATGTTTTATTAAAATGGAACCACAGTGGCTCAATGAGTAAGGTTTTTGCTTATTAACCAGGCAGAGCCTGGTTCGATACTGGTGTTGGTCGAGAAAATTCCACTGGATTTTTCATCAGGCTATCCCAGGCTATCCCTTAGTCAGTAGTGCAAGATAGAGTGCCTGGCATTTTGAATTCTATGAAGAGGAGGATAAGTGCCGCTTTCAGGGCAAAATTCTTCTCATAGCCACTGCATGGTGTATGCCCGTCTTCATTAGCCTAGTTGGTTCATTTCATTTCTTCCTGAAATTATTTTACTTTCCATCAGTTCATTGTCCACTGATATGACTGTGTATATATTGAAATGAAGAACTCTGGTGATATCCAGCCTTTTCTGATAATCACCAATAGTTGAGGCCTTTGATCTTGTGAACGCTCCAGTAATATGCTTGAAATTTATATGCATCATTTTATAGATTGATGAAAAAAGAAAACCTTTTGGTTATTGCCAGGTTTGATCTACTCTATTGTTAAGAGTAAGGAGGAAAAGTAAAATTTCTGCATTTCTGCTCTTCGTTAAAAAAAATTGTCTTCCTATCCAGCAATAGTGCCAAGAGCTTATACACTCATACAGTCACTTATGTCCATCCTCCTCCCAAAACTGTAATATTTTAAAAAAATGCTCAAAATTTTGTTGTTTAATATTTCAGACAACCATAAGTCCAACTGATTATGCTGTGAACCAGTGTTTTATGCCTCAGGAAACTACAGTTATAACCATTTATATATTTGGCTTTGTTTTTATTATATTAAGTTTTCTTATACAAAAAAAAGTCTCCAAATGCAGCTCAGAAAAAAATCGTTAAACTTTTATTTTATTTGCTGAGATTTCTTTCATCAATTCTCACACCTTAAGACTCAGTGCAATCTTTAACAATAACCTGCCAGCTGTGACATTATCAGGGAAACAATCAGCCATGCATTCACTGTTTTTAGAGTAAGAGCACCTGGTTTTGTTTATAAACAGTGACTGATAGTTACCCTCATAACGTCACAGCAACTGTTTTAATTTTAATTAAATTGCAAAATTATTTAAAATTTGGGTTCATCATTGTGGAAACTATTTTAAAGATTCTTTCCTGTGTACAAACTGTGTGATTTGATGATATATTTGGACTAAAACATATTCAAACTAATTAATCAATCAAAAATTTGGTTCAAATTCCTTTCCAAACTTTGTATTCGCTGGGAGATTCCTATAGCTAAAAATAAACTGTTGTTAGATGCCATGGCTGTCACCTTACTTCATTGTGGGAGTGTCCATTTTTCAGTATATATTTTTCATTACTTACTGTCCATTTACCATACATATTGAGTCCTAAGTGAATTCTTAATTCTTTTCTGTCAACTTCTTTTTCCACTGTTTAATTGCAGAGTCTTTTGTACATTGATACACATCAATATTCCCCAAACCACCTAACCATTTGGTCAAGAAATAACAACCACTCCCTCAGTCAAGCTAGCACACAATAAGCTGGCAGACAATGGCCAGGTTGCCAGCTACTGATACCCTGACATTTTTGCCCAGTGCATGCCCCGTGGGTGTTTTTTGGGTAATCCAGTATTTTTCTAGTAAGATTTGGTGTCTATACTTTCCATATATATACCAAATTTGCCATACTTTTATTGGAAATACGACCCGATAAATACTCTCAGGACAATGTATCTTTAACACTAAATAATGAATAAAATATAAAGAATCTTCTGCAGCTGGAATTCTTTAATTATTCTGCTAACCCGTAAGAACTTAGACTGGCCGAATATAGTGCTCCTGAGAGTGCCCTACACTATGTAGATATTGACTACCCTGGTGATGTTTTTCATAACAGTATATCCCTGTTCCCTAGCCGCCAGATTTATGACTCTGGAGTCACCAAGGTAGTTAATATCTACATGTATAAATGGTTAGAAACCATTTTAGAAATATGAAATTTTGATCTGCAGGTCGATCTCATGATTAATTCATACATCATAATGATATATTAATAGTGCAAGAGCTGATATCAAATGTTGAACTGTAGAATGAATGTTCAACTCTTATTCTTTTGTTTTAAAATACATATATTAACAATATGCATGAACTTATGACCAGACATCATACATGTAAGCATTAGTAAAATAAATTGAGAAAATGTTGCTGTATATAACAAATTAATCCCCTCAAGTTGTTGATGCCACCCCAAAGCAGACGAGATGAACAGGAACTGAAAATATTGTAATCCTCAAATCGCAATTGTCAGCTGAGTGACCTTTTGCAATTTTAACAAAACATTTCTATTTTTCAAGCATATAAATTCATTGTTACATCATGAAGAATTTTGATTGACCTACCATTTAAATTAATCACCATTGATTATGTTTATCCCCACCATGATGTAGGTGTTTTTATTTAGGTGAATGCCTTGACTGAGTTCAATGATGAGCAATTTTCACCAATGCTAAGCAGAGATAAACAATGTGATTGGTTAAGGCTAAGCAGAGATAAACAATTTGATTAAAATTTTGGAAAACATTAACTTTAATTCTAATTCTAATACCTTGACTAAGTTTGATAATGAGGACTTCCTGCTTATGCTAAGTAGCAAAGATTTAATTGGTATAGCCTTGGGAACACTATAACTCTGCTCTTAACTGCTATCTGAAGTAGAATGAATGTACAACTTGGCATAATTGTACATTAGGTAAATGTTTTGACGGAGTTAGATGATTAACATTTTCCACTACGGCTAAGCAGAGATAAGCAATTTGATTGTTTGGTGCTTTGATGACATGATAACTTTGATCTTAACTGAGGGGGAGTTATGAAGCATTGATGGAGTTGGATCATGAGCATTCACTGCTTAGGATAAGCAGGTGCATGTCCAGAAGGGGGAAGGGGGTAGGTCAGCTCATGCGGAGCCTTTCAAAGGATGATGATATATATAATTTAGATGCTCAGAACTGCACCCTACTTTATAGACAACATAAAAACATACTAAGATTAACGTATCTAGCAATAGATAAAATTTAACAAATGAGTTTCTTATTTTACAAATACTAGATTTTACAGCAATCAATAAAATGTTAATCAAATATAAATAATGGCATGCAGGTTATGTCATGATGAGAAATTTTAACAATCCTAGCTATAAGTAGATTGTACAAAGTATCATAATATTATATATAAAAGAAAATGTTAATTTATTACCTTAGATTGTATTATTAACAGCAATTAATTTATTAAGAATGCAAGAAAAATTTCAATATATTTTTCTCAGAGTTAAATGGAATGCCTTCTGGTGTTTGTTTTTGTAAATTATTGATTATTTTAGACTGAAAGAGATATTCTTACTTGTCTTAATATGTTGGATTGAACACTTATAGGATGCATTATGTTAGATTTAGATAAAGAGCTGACAGTTTTCGCTAGGAATATGTTGAAAATTTCAATCAAATTATTTCATTCTGAGTGGAGTAAAGACCGTTTGGAGAACCTTATTACGATATTAAACAAAGTCTTGATTGTCCATTTATAAATTAAATTATTTACTGGCAATTGTGTTTAAATCCATTGAAAATCAAAACCATTGGATGGTCTAGAGAGTTGATTATGGGCAAATGAAAGATCTGCTTTGGGGACAAGGAGTAGGGTTGCCTGTCCAACCTCATTTGTTTTTCTTCAGGTCCTCTAGTTTCTTCCCAGTGCTAAAGACCCCTACACACAAGCAAATTATTGAAATAAAATTGAACCATGTGTTAATCTCAAAATGACCTAGTTTGTGTCAAGTGGACATTAAACCCCATTTCTTTCTCTCTCTGCTTTAGGGAGATTTAGCTCTTACATAATGCATCTTAAAAATGTTGACATTAGATTGTGTGCTAAATTTAATGTTCATCAAATGATTCATTTATATTATATGTAAATTTTTATTATAAGTATAGAATCTTTAGAGATATTATTGTGTAGTATAGTTTTCTCTTTAAGCAGGTTAGTTTTAGAAAAATTTTGATTCTTATTTTTATTTTGAATATAGTATGTTTTGTAATTCAATTCATCTATTGTCTATGTAAGGTACTTATTCCGTTTCTATTAATATGAAATTATACATTCCCCATTTATATTTTTGGTATAGCATATAAATATAAACAGGTAAAATGTTATCTGTACAGTATGTAAACACCTGGTACTATAAACAATACAATCGAAAGTTGTATATATATACATTTATACTATAACACATACTTATGAAAGAACAAGTTATATTCATAGCATGGCTTTCATGAGTTAACCTTCGGCCTCGATGTTAAACCTGTTAACGAATGAAGCGTGCTATAAATGACTTGTAATTTTGACACCTACTCAACATGCTTGTTGTTACTGCACAGAAAACCCACCCCACTTCTCTATATGATTTCTACTAAAACTAGTGTAAACCAGCAAAAGAGTGCAATCAGATTGAACATGTCTAGTTATTGCAGAGTTAAGCTCCACCCAATCTACTAGAGGGAAAACAATCTGCTTATTCAACCAAAAGAACAATGGGAGATTTTGCCGTCCATGTTACAATTACTTAATACAGTAGACTCCAGTAGACCTATACTCTTCAAGTATAAATAATGGTTCTTTCATAAGTATGTGTTATAGTTTATAGCTCTATAGTATAGCCTCTAAAGGATTATATACATTTATGTTAGGATTTTAATATTTATGTACATGCAATAATGCAAAATAGAAAAAGGTGATGGTGTTTAATATAGTACAGTCATTTTATTGTGATATTATTTGCAGGTCTGTAAAACAAGTGCCTAAAGGTTTCCATTTCCATTTTATGTTGTACCTTATGGAAATTTGACAGAATAAAAACTTATTTAAAATAAAGTACACCTTGTAGTTGTCTATAGTTAAGGCATAATTTAATGTTTAGTGTTAAAGTTGCCTAGATCATATTTTTTACCGTTTAGTATCCAATTTGACATTGAACTTCAAGTAGACAATGCTTTAGTATTTTATATCTGTTTAGGTTGCAGAAAGCATTTACATAAATAGTGTCAAACTTTACATCTGCAAAGTTACATAATTAGCCAGCCATAATAAAATGTATGTAAATACAGATTTTTGTCATACTTTATCTTTTATCTGCTATGATATTCTTTATAATAATTACTGCTAGGAAATAGTTATTTTTGATCTTTTTTGTGACTTTTTGATCTATTTTGTGTTGCTGAAAATGCATATGTTTTTGAAAACATAATACATGTTTTGTCATTAATTAATGCAAATGGGGTTTTATATTGCCCCTCCCGCCTCGGCCTCGTACGTTGGTCTGTCGTCTACAATTTCTTGTGAACACGCTACAGACTACATTTATCATCTGATTGTTTTGAAATTGATATATTTTGTTTGCATTAGTGAAATAAAAAATCCTATTTAATGTCAATAATTTCCGTTAATTTCTTCTGAAGTTATGGCCCTTGTTTCACTTTGTTGCATCTTGTGAACACTCTGACATATGTATGAGTTTTATATGCATCATTTAAATTAGTGAAACGAAGAAGTCTATTGAAATTCAGCAATTGCCGTCAATTACTTTCTAGAGTTATGGCACTTGTTTCACTTTGTTGAACCTTGTGAATGCTCGAACGACAAAAGTTATCGTCCGATTTTAACATATTTAAAAATAATGGTAACTTATCAAGGAATAAATTATGAAAAAGAAAAGTTATAAATATCCATTTCTAAAAATGAGAATGTTATGAGAATGTAACTGTCCCAAAGCCTTTCCACTTAAAGATGTAAGATTTAGATAAAGATATAATGTAAAATGAAAATATTGAAAATTTCATTCAAATTACTTCATTCTGAGTCAAGTTAACAAGATGTGTGCATAGTGGTAAACAGGGCACTAGTATATTCGAAATTTAGCCTTGTTTTCCCGTTTTTAAATTAAATTTTTGAAATGCGAACCGTTCTAATCTAGTTACAATCTCATGTATCCAATGCCACTGAGAGTTGATTATGGTCTTGTTTTGTTAATAAATGTCTAATTAATAGTTTATATAACATTTCAGGCCTAAAGAAAGACCTGCAAAAGGCAGATTTATCTCTTGCATAAGGTATGTTTAACTGAGGGAAACGGCCCTAACAGCAAGTCTGGGATTCCTTATTTAGCTTCCAAAAATAAATGATTTCAATACTGCAGTTTGAATATAGTTTTCTTGCATTCTTTTGTAATAAAACTGTCATATTTTATTATTAAATCTGATCTCTTTATTTATTGGGTTGGTTTTGTTATATATATATGTATGTCTGGTTATGCTACCTTGATATTTGCTCATTAATATCATTTAACAAAGTTGTTTTATTTAATAAATTCATGTGCCTTTAGTATATTAAATGTTTTATATTATATTCTATGTTCACCTGTTAAATGTTATCTAGTTTAGTCCCAAAAATCTGCAGTACGGGGGTAATGGGAAAACTCAGAGCTTGTGGCTAATCCCAGATGAAAATTATGGATCTAACCCATCACTTGACATGGGTGACAGACTTTGTGATCTGCAGGATTATATTTTACAATCTTTTTTTTAATATAGTAGACCCATGACTTTATGAATAAGTCTGAAGTTTGCAAGTACTATTCCATTCAAAGACTTTTTGTATTCATTCATACTGTTTACAGATGTTAGTTTATCTTTGAACACATTCTATTAGTCCTGCTTTCGATGTACGCTACGTCGGCGAAAAAGTCGGTCAAATGGGAGTGTTTTTCTGTAAGCGACTTTTTCGCTGGCGGTTTGTTTGTTTTTTCGCATGAAGTGTGCGTTTCTGCGCGTGTTTTTGCCGGTAATATTATATGCAACGGCATTTGACCGACTTTTTTCCTGGCGAAAACGCGTACATGGAAAATGAATCTTAAGTGTTAACTAGGAAGCGATCGTGGACCCAGATGGTCGATACGGACCAATTTGCGTACCGAAGATGCCAAAATTGCTTGAATTTTACTTTACATTCAATGTCCGAAATGATATTTGAAAGCACCTTTCGTTGCATATAATCAAAGAACAACGATTGTCTGGTGACGCACTACACACATGTTGTGTTGTCCCCCGGTTATCGAAGAAAGCAGGGAACTATTAAAATGGGTTCGTCGGTCGGTCTGTCTGTCTGTCTGTCCGTCACACTTTTTGGGACACAATAACTCCCTTTCTAATTGCGCTAGAATGTTCAAACTTGGTGTAGGTGTTTATTAATAGGTCAATACCTTGATGGAGTTCGGAGATAAGCAATTTGATTGGTTGAAGCTTTGGGACACGGTAACTTTAGTTCTAATTAAGTGAGAGGGATGGAACTTTGTGTATAGTTTCATTACATCAATACCTTGACTAAGTTCGATAATGGGCATTTTCTGCTCAGGGTAAGCAGAGCGATAAGCAATTTGATTGGCCAAGATTTTGGAACACAATAACTCTCCTTCTAATTGAGCTAGAATGTTCAAACTTGGTGTAGGTGTTTATTGGGTCGATGCCTTGATGGAGTTCGAAGATGAGCATTTTCTGCTTAGGGTAAGCATAGATAAACAATTTGATTGGTTGATGCTTTGGGACATGATAACTTTAGTTCTAATTAAGTGAGAGTGGGGACAATTGGTGTATAGCTTTATTACATCAATACCATGACTATGTTCGATAATGAACATTTTCTGCTGAGGGTAAGCAGAGCGATAAGCAATTTGATTGGTCGAGACTTTGGAACACAATAACTCCCCTTCTAATTGAGGTATAGAATGTTCAAACTTGGTGTAGGCATTCATTAGGTGAATCCCTTGATGGAGTTCGGTGATGAACATTACGGTAGGCAGAGATAAGCAATCTAATTGGTTGATAATGAAGTGAGAGCGATGAAACTCTGAATATAGATAGATTCATTATATAATTACCTTGACTAAGTTCGATTGTGCGAATTTTCTGCCTGGGCTAAGGAGCGATAAGCAATTTTATTGGTCAAGACTTTGGAACATAAAAACTCTGCTTTTAATTGAGGTAGAATGTTTAAACCTGATGTAGATGTCTTGACTGACTTCAATGATTAACATTTCAAGCTAAAGCTAAGCAGAGCTAATCAATTTCATTGGTCGATGCTTTGGGACAAGATAATCTTGATAGAGCGTGATGAAACTTAGTGTGTAGTTTGATTGCTCGATACTTTTGAAAAAAATAAATGTGCGATTAATTAATGTGTCATCTATTTATTTTGGGATTTCGGCGGGGGACATCAGCCTCACTGTTGGCTTGTTTCTACTAGGTCATCTCCATATCGCATATACGAATAAGATAATTAGCTACGGCGTATTATGTAGTATGGACCATTTGATTAAAGTTATATAATTTTTTTATGTTTTCGAACTTTTGTACTAAGACTCCTTCTAGGAGTCACATTGGTGTTGGCCGAGAAAGTTCACCGGGATTTTCCAGCATGTTTTCTCCTAGTTCCTTTCGACCTAACTTTTTCCTTGTCAGTGGTGTAAAGAGGAGGGTCTGGAATTGAACAGCGTCTAGTCGTCCGGGTGGGATTAAAAACGAAGGCCACTTGTCCACGTTGAGGTTGGAATTTGTGGCTCACTAACTAGGAGGTATGTGTTTTAATCCTGGTGTTATCAAAGAAAATTCTTATGGATTTTCGAGCCTGGTTTCCCCTAGATAACAAACCTCATCTGTCAACCCTCCGTGTTTCGAGATAAGAGATGGTGCTTAAGTTCCACGTAACGTAGCAAAGCCCAACGCAAATCACATAGGGACTCAGTAAGCAAAATTGACAATACTTTTCATCAAAACAACGATTGATTATTGTTATGTATAATATTTCTGCCACATCCAACTACAATTAAGCATATAATCCTACCTGAAACGGGTATTAATCATCATATTTAAAATCGAAGCGTTAAGCCGTTACTAGGAAAGCCATTTTTAACGGGAGATGTATGTCGGATAAAAACAATGCTTCATTAATTTAAACGCGAATATTTGGAGTTAAGCGATAGATGTGCCACTACATTGGCCCCTGTAAGTTTAATTAGTCATAATAGTATACAATTATCTTATTTTTAAGATGTTACAAGCATTAATAAATAAATTGAATTTGCCACTTGGAACTGAGCCCAATCGTAGCTTAATACAAGCACATCAGTATATCTCAACGTTTTTAACTACATTCTCGTAGTTAGGTTTCCCCTTTTTAGCTGTGCATGACAGAGGTCGTGGGAAGGAAAATAGTCTAGTCCTTCGGATTGGACATAAGAGAGAGAGAAACGAGGAGTAGCGTCCACGCGACACAAACTATGTCACTTTGGGACTAACATAAGGTTCAATTCTATTTCATTAATTCGTGGGGGTTTTTTTTAGCAGTGGGGGGAAACCGGAGGACTCGAAAAAATCCCACGAGGTTGGACAGAAGACCCTACCCCTTGTCACGTACAAGCATGGAATCCAAACCACGCCACTTGACTCAATGGCAGACCTAATTATGCAACGCACACGCGTTACCCCCCCCCCCCTTCCCTGGGCAGAAGACGATGTCTAACCATGTGTGCACCTCATAACAGGTCAGTGTTGCAATCTATCTGATCTAACCCTACGAATGTGGATCCAAGATTAATTGTCAAATTTAAATTTCATTTTACAAAAACAAAACGCCTGTTAAATAGTATTTACAGCTATACATATTTATAATAATACAAGTTCTTGTCATATGCGACTTTATGATACAAACTATATTGCAAGTAACCATGAATTTACTCTTTACAATGTGGTATTCTTTTCTTTTCCCTGTTCGCAATACCATTTGGAAGGAGAGGAGGTGGACCCAGCACCCGGTTTAGTTTTCTTTCTTATGTTTTCGTAGTTACAAAGAAGGGCACTGGACATTTTTGCAAGTAAAATAGCAAACATACAATATGGCCTACATAAATCAGTAAATAAAAAAACCGCAAATCAAAACTTTATACCGTACTAATAATAAACAATGTGAATGTCGAAAAGCGCCACAGCAAAGTGTTTCATAAAGACTCGAAATGAAATATCAATCATTGAAAACAGGTACCAAATAGCTTCCTTACTGGTGCGATTTCATTTGAAACACAAGGAGCCAAGTCAAGCTACATAGTCGGTGCTGCGAACATGATGCACATATTTGTTGAAGTAAAGAAAAGGGGAACATGATGATAATAAACTATAGAACACCTGTTTATAATTTACGTTATCTAATTAACCTATAATACATACTTATCATAAGTAATTTGTATGTAATATTAGTCTCCTATCAAGTCAGAACGATTTTCTTGTCACAATCCAGGAGATAAGAAGGACATTATCTACAATACCACTATTCTAATCTTCTAGGTTTTGATCACAATTGTAAAATTCTAGCGGAAAGGTCGTTTTTGAAGTCCATCAATGTGATTGTGTTCATTACCGTATCGTGTTAAGTATACTGTCATGGTTCTTTTTTAATTGAGGTTTTGAATCGCCTGTCCTTCTGTAAATAAAAAAACAACAACCATTGTCAACCAATATCAAAAGTGTTTTCCGATTCCCCACCCCAACAGTGGCATACGAAAGTTACACTGTCGACAATTAGCTCTAAAAAAGATAGTTCTCTGTGTGCAAAATGACACAGCTACGGTTTTTGATTACAACTACAAACGTACACTATTACTGAAGCAGCATAAAATTAAATGAAATAGGGTTTAAAGTCCTACTTTTCGTTCTCGACGGGCTTAATGAAGACGGACATACAGTGTGCTGTGCGGGAAATTTTGCCAGGACAGCGGCAAGGGTATTTGTACGTGCACACCAGTGTTCACACGAGACCCCGGTTTTTCGTTCAATCCGAAAGACTAGACACTTCCCAACATGAAATGAACGATTGGATCTCATGAAGATCTATACTCGCCAGCTTGCATATATTTTATTCAGATATTACCTCTATCAATTCTCCTATTAGGTATATTTCCAATAACTTGATGCCATATTTGGAATGACCTTTATCCCCAAAGGCAATCGTGGCATCGGTGCCTGCATTTTCTAGAATAACGTCATTTCCACCGGGATGCTGAATCAAGAAAATTCAAATTAATCGTGGTAATAAGAAAATGGAATAACAAGAACTATTTTAGAAACACGTCGCCTTTCCATTATAGAAAACATATTATTTCCCATAGAATAATGTTCAATATTAAGATTGTAATATAAATGATAGCCACGCAAAGCGTGGAAAATACACCCATACAGACAGCAACTTATCCAAAAGAAACACTTAAGTTGCATGTTGACCAAATTTGATAAAGATCCTGAATACTAAAAGTCATCAGGCAAATCATTTTGAGACCGAGGCCAAGTCAAAATGAGACCAAACAATAACCATATCGAGGGTATAGAACATAATTGTGATAAGTCAATATATCAGGCATTGTGACTTATCACAATTATGTTCTAAACCCTCGATATGTCAAAAGTTTACCAGGAAGTACAATTCAGTGTAATGTAGCCATAACAACAACAGCAACAAAAAAATGACAAAAATATGAAAATTTACCTTTGAAAGAAATTCGGTAACATCGTAAACTTTGTCTTTGATGACAAGCCAACAGGATGTTACATCACAATGTTCAGACACTTCGTCCAGTGAAAACAGATGACAACTAGCTTCAATAATTCGGTTATCCATAAATAATCGTTTCCGATAACGAGGTCGTTTTACTGAGACCTACAAAGAGAATTATACCGTGTCGTCTAAACGTTTTACCCACAAGCGAGGCGTTAAATTTATTAAATTTAATAGTTTACAATACCAATTTACAATTCTTAAAAAGATAAAAATGCCATTATAATTTACAAGGAATCTTACACCAGGAACTCGTACGATGTCCTGCCTATATGCTGGGCTTCACATTTGACAGTGTGGTCCTGCATCTCCCGATATTGCTATTATTTACCACCAAACTACAGAATACAAAAAGTATCTTTGCGAAGTCATTCCGATACCCGTGAGCATACGTAAACTTCATTTTATTTATTTAATTTTGAAATGTATAACTACTTACCAGAAAATGTACGCCTGACTGTCTTCGGATGATTCGTGACTCCTGACTTTTTGCGAAGTCATTCCGATACCCGTGAGTGTAAACTTCATTTTATTTATTTAAGTTTGAAATGTATAACTACTTTACTTACCAGAAAATGTACGCCTGACTGTCTTCGGGTGATTTGTGACTCCTGGCACTGAGAGCTGAGAAAGAAATGCAGTGAACATTATCTCTTATCTAACATACGGTACCGTTTGAAGTTGATATAATAGTCCAACTTCTGCGCTGACACGACAAACTCCAGTATTTACCAGAGGAGACAGGATTGGCACACTCCATTTTTGGACAGTCACATTCAGTCTACTCAAACTCATTCAAGGGTAAAACACTATTAAGAAGCTTTGAAAATATTGCCTAGGCCTGAATGATATCCATCAATGAAACCGAATGATTCATTACTTATTTGTCACAATTGTCTAGCGTCCTTTCTGTCACTGCAATGAGATGAACATTGTTTGTAAGAGCTAAACCCCTTACTCAATATTATCCATAATCTTCGACATTAAAAACAAGAATTAAAACTTGATATTGGTCCATTTCAATTAATATTGATGTTGTTATCTTACCCATAAAAATTGTCATTTACATGTACTTAAAAAATATTATTGGTTACCTTCACTGTCAACAAATGTTGTCTTATCTGTGACATACATCTCAACCAATCGACCCATTTTTTTGTGTATATACCCTTTATCGGTGCTAAACTAGAACAAGTCCAGCTATTTACGTTCTTGGTCTTCAATCTTTAATCTGAAATTTGCGCATCACGATTATCCAAATCGACCAAAATTACCAATATTAGTAGCCTACCAATTCTTGTTTTATCATTTTCAGTGAACAAATGAGAATTCTGGAAAGGACATTTAGTAACCTCCTCGTCACACGGTCAGTCTAAAACCGTAGGCCTACATTGGTGTATCGCGTTCACGGGGTTTTCGGCAAAGGGGGGGGGGGGGGTAGCTCTGGTACGGAATATCATAGAATATCGATAGACTGCCCATGACCACAGTGCTTCACACATCCGTCTAAAACTGTAGCCTATATCGCGTCCACAAGGTTTTTGACAAAGGGGGGGGGGGGGCAACTCCGTAACGGAAAGTCGCAGAACACAATTATTGTTCATTTTCTCATGACTCCAGTGCTTTCCACAGAATTTGAAAACTATAGGCTCTATCGCTTTCCCAAGGTTATCGGTAAAGGGGGCATAACTCTGGTACGAAACGCCACAGAACGTTGAATATCGATAGGGT